TTCCCCTTCAGCCTCTCCAATGGCTTGGTGATGAGCGCGTAGTCCTCAATGAACCGACGATAGAAGTTGGCGAACCCCAGGAACTGGAAAACCTGACTGACATTCCGAGGTGCCAGCCAGTCCGTGATGCCGCGCACCTTCACAGGATCCATGCCGATGTGGCCGGGCAAAATCTTCAGCCCAAGGTAGTTGACCTCCTTTGTCCGGAACTCACACTTTGCCGAATTCAGGAAGAGGTCGGCCTCCCGAAGACGCCTCAAAACTTCCCGGACCTGCTTGTTGTGCTTTGACTCGTCCTCGGAGAAGATGATGATGTCATTCAAGTACAGGACCACTGAGACATCAACCAGGTCATGGAACAGCTCGTTGACCATACGCTGGAAGGCAGCCGGCGCGTTCTTGAGCCCAAACTGCATGACGAGGAACTCAAACTGCCCATAGCGCGTACGGAATGATGTTTTCCACTTGTCGCCCCCACGGATGCGGACATTGTAGTAGCCCCAACGCATATCCAGTGTGGTGAACACCTTTGCCGCTTTGAGCCAATTGAGTAGTTTGTTTGAGAGAGGGATGGGGTAGGAGTCGGACTGAGTGATGGCATTCAGTGCCTGAAAGTCAACGACAAGATGCAGGTCACCATTTTTCTTCTTGACAAAGAAGACTGGAGCGCCGCATGGCGCGTTTGAAGGCCGGATGTACCCCTTTGCCAGGTTCTCATTGATAAACTCCTTCAGTGCTGTGAGCTCCTCCAGTGACAACTGGTACAGCTTGCCGACTTTAGGCAGAGGGGCCCCAGGTTCCAGGTTGATGGGTAAGTCATACTTGGTATGCTGCAGCAACTGTTCCGAATGGGACTTGCTGAAAACGTCCAAAAAGTCATGGAACTCCTCCGGCACCACCTCCGCAATCCCCTTCACCTTCTCCGGTCCATCTCGCTTCCTCTCCTCTTCAGCCAGACGCTGCAAGACTGTCATCCCTGCCGCTGCCCGTGCTGACCCCTTTCCTTCCTCCTCAAACGCCATTGCCCTCTGGCCAGCATGCCCGGGAACGGAGCGCCCACCCCAGCACTGCTCTAGGTACCACCCTCCCTCCTTGTATGGAACACCAACAACACAACCATTGCTGGTGTCGGGGGTTCGAGCCAACCGTGCTTTCTCCTCCTCAATTCTTGCCACCAACATCACCTGCGCCTGCCGGACCACTGTCGCTTGCTGCTCGCGCAGGAAGCGTGGGTAGGCTGTCTTCTTTGACTTCAGCCCAGCCAACGCCTCCCGGGGTTGCCGCTTTGGCAAGCCCGGAGAGCAGTTTGTGTGCCGGCCTATAGACAACGCTGGCAATGCTGAGCGCTTGCTGCGCGGGCGGGAGAACAAGGCCAAACGGACCACTTCCTCTTGCGAAGGCGGTGGAGGTAAACCAGCCTCCACCACCGCCCTCACCGCCCGGCGGTGCTCTCGAACCTCAAACTCCAATCTCCCTTTCTTCGGCGGGTGTTTCGGACGGCCAGTCACCAGCGGGGTAGGCGCCAGTGGCTTGGGCTGCACCTGGCGGCAATTGGCATGCAGGCAGGAGCGTCAAAAGAAATGGTGAACTTGCGCCAGTCAATTGTAGGGTTGTGCTGCCAAAGCCAGTCAATGCCGAGAAT